ACAAGTGAGTGGTTGATCGGCCGGGGGCTGGGGGGCCGGGGAGGGCGCGGGGGGCACGACCCAGGGACCCCCACGAGGAAGCACAGGCAGGGGACTGCAGACTTGCTAAGGAAACACATGTTCACCTGCCGTCATGTCAGCAAATGGTCAGGGGGACTCCACATGCAGCGCCCGGTGTTGGGGGTGGGACGCGGATGCGGGGACGTGAGGTGGTGGGTGCGGCTGCCCTCTAGTGGCGGGACGTTGCCACACACGCCGTCACAGCCACGACTCGATGGGCGTCTTCAGAATATATGATCCGACCGTATTCCTGCAACCACCTTTTAAATGGCCTTCAATACACATGAGAAACGGCCTTAAACTTCTTCAAGCCACAAACCCGAAATCCCCCGGCGCCTGTCGGCTAAAACACCCCCACCTGCTCCTGAGAGAGCAGACCCGGGCGGACCTGCTGCCCCGCACCTGCTCCTGCCTCAGCCCTTCCCCCCCTCCACCCCCAGGTGCTGCCAGACCCACGACCGCTGCTACGACCAAGCCAAGAAGCTGGACTCCTGCAAATTCCTCCTGGACAACCCCTACACCAAGAGCTACTCCTACAAGTGCTCGGGCTCGGAGATCGTCTGCAACAGTACGTGCACCCCTCCTTGGCTTTGGGCCCTCAGCCGGCAGCAGGGACGTAATAGTGCCAATAGCTACCATTTACTGATCAATGACTCGGTGCCAGGCACTGTACCATGGTGATCCCCATTTTACAGATGAGGAAACTAAGGCTCGTAAAGAGTGGTGTTTGGTTGTTGAACTCAGGCCTGTGGGACTCAAACGCCTCTGCTCTTACCTGCCATGTTATACTGTTTTATTATTTCATAAAAGAGCCCAGAACTAGCATTGATTCGGTTCTCATTACCCGCCAGGTGCTAGGTGAGGCGTGTGTGTGTGAGTGTGAGGTAGGTTTTATTAGCCCCGTTTTCCAGGTCAGGAAGCTGACGCTCAAAAACAGTCACTTGTCCAGAAACCACACAGCTTGTCCGTGGCAGCTAGCATTCGCTTCCCGCTGCTTTCTTTCCTCAAAGTCTCTGGTTTTAACCAGTAAGTGGCGCAGCCCTCGGGATGAAATGTGTCCCTCCATGAAGAGCAGACAGATGAAAGGTGCTGTTGCTACTGTACAAACAGCAGCAGAATAACCATAATCCCAGCCCAAAAGTGCCACGAAAAAAAGTTCTCCAGAACCCACCACCTTCAGGAGTGACGCGTCATGCCTCCAGTTCATCTCTCTGAATTGTGGGACCAAACCCTCAACCGTGGCATTTGGGGACAACGCGATAACCAACTGAACTGGCTTCCACTTCCTATTGCAGAGATAGAAAGTAAAGAAAAAACTTAAATATACTAGATGTTGGTAAGTATTGTAGAGGAGATAAAGCAGAGAGGGAAGATAGAGAATGGCGGAGAGATGGAGGGAATGTGTATGATTTAAAAGAACGTGGTGAGGGAGACCTCACTGAGAAAGACATCTGCAGAATGACCTGGAATGAGGGCGTGACCCACTGCTGGGAAGTGTTTCAAAGGACTTGGGATAAGGGTTAGGGGTCTAAGCCTACCCACAATTCATTTGTGGTTTTTAAAGGAAAGGAGCAGAAAGAAACAAAACTTTAATAAAATGATTGAAGGTAAGGTAAGCAGAGATACACAGTTAATTTATGGATAGTAGAGGTCAAATGCATTTTAAATGTTATCCGTGCTGTTTCTTTTGGTTATAAAAGTAAAGAAGGCCAAAGTAATATAATTTCAGAAATATATGTCATGGAAAGTGGAAGATACCTATAATCCTACTACCTATAGAT